TGGAAGTTATTTGCGCTCTGATTGGCTAGGATTGTGCAGCGAATATCGGAGCTGGAGCGGTTCTGATTGGCTGCCAGGCAGCTACTTGTCTCCGGGTTCCATTTTCTGCTACATCGAGGGGGTGGAGCAGCTGAGGGTAGAGAGTGACCAGGGACGTAGCTCTGTGTGTGGGCTTTGAATTTAGACAGCGCCGGGCACTGTGGGAGTACCAAGTAGGTGAGAGTCCGAGCCTGGAATGGTCGGGGGGCTGTTGTTAATAACCTCTCTCTCTCTCTGTCTTTCTTTTACCCCCTGCCCCCCACCTAGGCTCTGTCTTTTGTTTACGCTCTCTCTCTTCCCGACCTGTTTCTCTCGATCGGGGAAAATTGCTTCTTGTCGCCTGGCTTGCCTCGGAGTGCGAGTAGTACCTATCCTACTTGTCAGGCAGGGGTTCAGACCAAATTGTGTCGGGCTCAAATATCCCCGAAGGTTGGAAAGAATGCGCTGATGTTGTTAAATGGCCGTTTTCTAGTCCCGTGATCAGGAAATTCCGCCGCAAAAAAGGGGGAGGGGAACGTCTAAAACTGTACACAGTTTACCAGTAATTTTTAAAATTGGATTCTTGCTCGAATATTTCCTGCAGCTTTGTTACTTTTTGGTCAGTGTTTTGTTTTCTAAGCTTTTTCTTTTTGCTTCTGAAGGGTGTGAACTATACGGAACCGTGTGTGCCGAGCAGACCCATGTTGTGCTTGGCTGCACCATCTTCTGTCGGAGTTCTGCTGATGCAAATTCCTAGTTGGGGAAAATCACCAAGATTCACCAAAAGTGACAAATTCCCTATAACCTGGCGTCGAAGTTTCCAGAAAGCTTTGGACGAAAAGATCGACGAGTTTTGGGATTTTTCGACGAAGAGGTTGGTGTCTGAGCTCAAGGTCTGGGGAAAGGAAAGATTCCTGCACGTAGGCAAGGACTGAACAAACTTAAAAACGTTCCTGCTTAAAAAGTTATTAATCTCTTGACTCCGATTCTTGGTTGCAATCTTTTCTAGAGCTTGACTGGTTAGTTTCCATTCTATTTTAACAATCAGTTAAGATGGTTACATTTACAGCATCCGCAGTTCATTGTGGGCAATCTTACCTTAGAACTGCAGTTGGAGTCCTCTGAACTTGGTAGTGTATTCAAAACACGTTTTTAATCTATTTTACATCCTTTAACTGTCTCTCAAATCCAGTGGTTGTAAGTCTTCCTCACTTGTTTCACGGGTCGTGCGTTGTCAGCCCAAATGACACCACTTATAAATTTACAACTGAATCATAAAAACCAGAGGTTTCTGATGGTTGCATCTGAACACTGGGTGACTGAAGAAGTAATTCTTGTAAAACAATGGAAAGGTTTTCTGAAAGGAAGTGACCAAAGTGACATAATTTTTACTGATTGCAATTACAGTGATACAGTGTCCCAGCATGTGGTTAACGTATAACTGATGCAGCTAGTATTCCAAAAACAGTAGCATTGTTTCAAGTATTTAAAAATAGCTATTTTAACAAATGCAAAAAAGTTATGCCTAGGCCCAAATTGAAATGTTGTGGTATCGATTTTCCCTTGGGGGTACCCATTTTAATTTCTAAACATAGTTAGTGCACGTGCAAGAGTTGGAATTAGAATTGATCATTTTTTCCTAATTGTACAGGTGATAGTTTCTTTGGAGAAAAATGGGAGGTGTCGAAAGATTAAATATCCCAATATCCCAACCAAACCATGGGACTCCAAAGAGGAACCAGCACTTAAACAACAGCAGACAAAGGAACAAGGATGATAATCTCTATCACGTGAAGACAATGCACAAGAAAGGCGAGAAGGGACATGGACGATATCCATTTATTTCTGAAACATGTCAGGTTGTGCAGAAAGAGGGAAAGAATGTTATGCACTTTACTGCAAACAATCAGAGTTGGGAGGCAGTTCTGAGCAGCTCAAACACACTGTTTAGGTTGCAGTCTGATCAAAATTATGCTGGAGCCAAGTTCAGTGAGCCACCATCACCAAGTGTACTACCCAAGCCTCCAAGCCATTGGGTACATGTGCCCCTAGAGTCATCTGATCACAGTGAAATGGCCTTTCAGTTGAAGACCATGCTAAAAGTGCAGGCATAGACTGTAGACTTAAAAGGATCACACTGCTGGAAACAAAGTTTCTAATTCTACTATATAATACAGGAGTTTTGAATTGTTTTTAAAAGCACTGCCTTTGATATCCTTCCGAGCTGGTTGTTTGGTGTATATTGGCCCAGTTTTGTGTCCAGCAGTTGTTTACTGGAAATTTGTTTCCTCTTCCTGTTCTGCCCTTTTCTATGAATAGGAAACAAATTTCAATTCTAACATAGTAATTCCAATGTTTGAGTGAAGGATATTCCTGACTTTAGATCTCTCATGATTTGCTCCTGTCCAAAAAGTGTTGAATCAGCAATTATGTTGGCCATCTTGCGTCTGCCCAACCACAGTTGGGCATATTCAGCAAGATGTGTATGTAGCTTCCTGCTGTAGAAAACATGTTTTATTACTTTTGTTTTGGAACTCCTGATATTAAATGGGTCCTGTCCTTTCCTTATAAAGGATGATTGTTATGATGCAATACCCCATGAAAAATGTTTGCTAAAACATGAAGTCTCATCTGCCAGTGGTAGATATGTTACCATATGTTAGGAGCCTTTGTGTTTTAATCTCTCTCTTTTGAGGTAAAAGCACTTTGTGTACTGTACAGAAAAGGCAAACACTTAAATTTGTTCAGATTAACAAGACCTTTTCAAATATTCATTGTACCCGTCACCACATTTTAATGTAATACTGGAATACAAAACTTAATTTGCTTAAAATTGGCAAAAATGAATTTGATTATGTATTAACTCTCCTGGCCAGTTTTTAAACCTGTAGAAAGAGCCACAAGTGTAAAACTTGTACCATATGTATATTAAAGCAGGACTTGTCTGCTGAATAAACTATTTTAGTACAATGGCTAAATGTATAAATCATGCCACCGGTTTCTTGGTGTGTCAGACCGAAGAATATTTTTCTTAAATGGATCAAAAGCACAAATATTTGATGATGCTACATGTGTCAGTGTGCTTGCATGTTTTTAAAAAGGAATGACTGACTGACTGGTTTTCATTGTTTGTTTTGTAGGGGAATAAAAGCTATAGAAAGTATTTTCTATGTAAAGAAAAAGAAAAATGTAAAAACTGGTTGCTGCATATCCTGAAGTGGTCATATCATTTGTTTTTTTAATGAACAGAAATGAGCAATCTGATTTTAGTAGTAATTTGTCCTGCTGTTTGCACTTAAGATCTATCTGATTTCACCCCCCCCCATACCACTGGTAATGCCTTGTAACCTTGCAATACTAGCATTGTGATGTTGGTTGTTACTGACTGCACTGTGCAACATGCTTTGAGAACAGCATCTCATCTTTAAAGCTACAGTTTTACCAATGGACGGCCAGAATGTACTGATTATTCTTTGCTTCTGTTACCAATGGTCCATTATTTCCCTCATACCAGGCTTGGGAATAGTAATCATATGAATGTAAATTTATGCATTTTCTTGGTTACCATTTCCATATAGTAACCACAATTTTGTTGGGGGAAGGAGTGTAAAACCATTTGGACCTCATTTCTTTTTTTTTTCCTTGTCTCAGGTAACATCTGAAAAGGACGGTTCACTCCTGATTAAATCTATAAATGAATGTTCTTTTGCCCCAGAAACATTTGCAGTCTGTTTTAATTTAGCAGCTCTATATATCCAACAAAATTATGTCCTAATACAACTGGGGCTTGGGATTCTGTTTAACAGTAAAAAATTTTGTATTGAAATGATTACTTGGAACAAATTCCTCAATAAATTTGACTTAACCAATTTGCAACATGAACGCAGATTTAAGTTTTTTTTACCTTATCAAAATGAAATTCTAAGTGGGTTTTGTTTCTTTAACTTCTATATGGCAGCTGAGATGCAGAACAATATAAATTGAGTAAACTATGCAACCTCAGAAGTACTCATCCTTGATTAGTTGGGGATAAACCTTCAGCTACTGGAATGTGCACTCAATACATAGAGGAATTTGGGAATTCAATACAAAATATGCAACTTCAAGGTCAGTCTGGACTATTTACAAGATGTTGAGTTTTGTAGGGTTAAGTTGTCAGTCCGTACATCTGTTGTTCAGTCCAGACAATAAAGAGTATAAACCAAGTTGTAACTTGCATCTAGAACTGTGTTTTATTTTAGGAATGAAAACAGAAGTTGCTGGAAAAGCTCAGCAGATCTGGCAGCATCTGAAGAAAAATCAGAGTTAATGCTTTGGTCCAGTGATGCTTTTCCAGCAACTTTTTTGTTCCTGATTTACAGCACCTGCAGTCTTGCTTGATTTCATTTGTAAATACTTGTCTACCATAAGTTGTACAAAGTCATTTCTCTGATATTCAAGTCCATTTTGAAAAAAGTGAAATTGGAGTTGTCTGCCTTTAAAGTTCTTTTCATATCTAGTAACTGGTACTGAGGAAATCAACAAAGAGACCAGCATTCCAAAGTGGTAAGATTGAAGGCTGGAACAAACCAATCTGGGTAGAAGTCAGCTGAAATTGTTCAATGGATAATGTTGCAAAGAAGTCACTTAGCAGATTAAGCTCAAGAATTAGTATTCATCTGACCAAAATATTTGCTCAGTTGTCAGATTAACTCCTATTGACATGTTTCTTTTTAACCAATGTAATCCATATGGGTGAACAACAAACGAAAAGAAAGCCAAACCCCTACATGGAATTTTACATTTTCTATCCTTGATGTAACCCAAGAGTTTGTCCAAGTAACCCAGCTATGAAAGTATTGATTGCATTAAAACATACATCAGATGCAGCTGTGATAGTGATAAGCTTGATTTAGGTACACTACTTGCTTCCTTTGGTGATGTGCTCTTAACCAGGTAAAAGTGCTCAAGAATTAGGAGCAGGTTTTGTGAAGAGGCCCTAGGATTTGGTTATCTAATAGCTGTTTTGTAATAGACGAGTATTATGGAGTCTGAAAGAAAAAAACACGCATTCATCAACATGTTTTGCTCTGATACAAATTCAAGGAGAAAACCCAACACTTAGAATAAGTTCTGATTGATTGGTACAAGTGTTGTCAGTACACAAGTGAATCACTAAGCCCAAGTCTTAAATTAGTTGTCAGTGTAATTCCTTGTACCTGCAGATGTCCAATTACAGAATCACATTTAACATGAAGACACTTGCAAGCAGGGACTAGTTGAATATGGCTAGTATTTTGCTTGTTGCAAACAACTGAAGGAATATTGAGGATAACTGCTCCACAGAACATGTCTACTAAAAAGACCCTGAGCTTCTGCTTCCAGCTGGTTGCCACTCCAGTGTTCTCTGGCCAGCATCTGTCTTGGGCTTGCTGCAGTGCTCCAGCAAAGCTCAGCACTTCATTTTCCACTTGGAACCCTGCAGCCTTCTGGACTCTATCACATTCAACAATTTTAGGACTTCAGCACCTTTTTTTCCCCCCACACACCAGATCTTGTAATCCATGAAATAGCTGGCTTCACCTGTTGCTCAAACATTAAATATTTTACCTTTACAGGATAATTGGATAGACTGCTTTAGTAAGTTTGTGCAATGAACAGTGAGCAGGGTAGCTGTTATTCTGCAAAATGGCACAAATGTGCCCTATCTCAGTATATTCATATAGTGAACAAACTGCATGGTGTTTATTTAGATAGTAGGAACTGCCAATGCTAGAGAATGAGATAACAAGATGTAGAGCTGGATGAATGCTGCAGGCCAAGCAGCATCAGAGGAGCAGGAAAGCTGACGTTTCGGGGCTAGACCCTTTAGAAAAATAAGAAGGATTTTTCTGAAACGGAAACATCAGCTTTCCTGCTCCTCTGATGCTGCTTGGCCTGCTGTGTTCATCCAGCTCTATACCTTGTTATCTGTGTTTATTTAGGTGGTTTCCGAGCAGGCCAATCTTTTAGCACGAACAGAAAAGAATCTGCAGATCTCTAGCATTAGATGTAATTCTGAATTGGATAATAGTTGCTGGATAATCTTACTGTAATTATATGACAATCCTAAATTGGTTGTCAAAAGAGCATATACACTTATTTGCTTGTTCATTTCTCAGGATCAGAGTCAATCTGTCCCACTTAAAATTTAGCACAACCTGCCTGTTAATCAGTCAGCAAGGTAACTTAAGTTACCAAGAGTACTAAACAAATTGAACATTACTTTTGAAATACAGTAAATCCTGACATAGCCACAACTTAAATCAAAACTGTTGGAGAAAATTTATACTGTCATCAGCCACTAAGCACAGCATCAAATACAGGCTGCCCTACCTTATGCACAACCCAGAAGAATATATCTTACAAAACAAATTTGGATAAATGGAGGGGAAAATTTACAGGGAGCAAGATTACGTGAATTATTCAAAAGAACTATTACAGGTTCAACATCCAAATGGGCTTCTTTTGTGCTGTTTTAATTTTAACCAAGATACAATTCAGCTTATCCCCTACGGTGTTAGTGCACGTAGGGTTCTGACTGAAAAGTAGAAAATTCCTTTAAGAAAACAGATCTGAGATGCTTCATTTTACAGCACAGATTTATTTACAAGTTAGTTACAGTCAGCTGTCATGAACAAAAAGGATGAACACAACATCCACATCTGATCCAAATGATTTACTTGATAACTGGTGCTAAGACTGTAAGAGTGTTTATTTGCACTGCATACCTTGAACTGAATTCTGCAAAGTTATGAAAGGCATACCCTGTATACGCTGTCTTCTCAAGTGAAGAATCTTATCACTTCTTTTGAGTAAAGGCAAGAAACAAACTGGACTGTAAAACCAAGACACACTGAACCTATCCTGGCTCAAACACAGTAGGCCAGACCTAAACTGGCAAGAATTGAAAAAAAAACTTTAAGCAAGACTTCTCACATAACCCTAATGTGATTGAACACAGTTGATTTAAGTCACTTACATCAGATTACAATTTTATTCCCAGTTCTGCTTATCCAAATTCACAAGATGAATGGCTAAATATGACCTCTCTAGGGGTCAATGTTCTTAATCTTTAGGATATACTATTATTACTTGATTTCAAACATCACATTTTTCTAGTCATGCAAAGACCTAGACAACTTAGCATTTTAAAGCTTAAACTGAAAACATTTCTAATATAGATGAACTTTTACAAACAGCTTTTATTAAAAAGACGTGGTATAAAAATCCCTTTTGTTTTTACAAGCTTCTACATGAAAAAAAATGTTTCAGCACAAGACAAATCCGTTTTTTTGAAAAAATGTCCAATTTCGCATCAGATACAAGTTCCTGCATTTGTCTTACAATAAAAAATGCAGGTAGTTTATCTAACAGCATTAGCAAATTATATCTTTACAGCCAAGAATGAAAAGAAATATTCATGCAAAATACACAAATCAATACTACAGGAAGCATGCCAGACTACTGCATTGCATAAACACACAAGAACAGAACATAAGGTTGTGGGCAACAAATTGCCAATACTTTTTGATTGTGCTTAATGTGACCAGTTGGGTAAAATAAGGAGAATTTCTATAAACCAATCCCCCAAGCAGAGTGTTTCAGGCAATTATGAATGATGTTAAACCCCACATTGTAGTTACGTTAATACAGCACTGCATTGATGACATGTTCTTTGTTAACAGTAGCATTTACAAATTTTGAATTCACACAGTTTTGATTTGTACCAGCAGCTTTATTAATCCATCAGAATATTAAACAGGGAAAACAATTTATCTTTTTGGACAATCAGTATAGAGGGCACTGCTTTATAAAAAAATTACTAACAGTAACAGCCGTGAATCAAATATATCTTTCTAAATTTGCCTAAAAACAATAGTGAACAAGTTGACTTTCAATGAACCAATGTGTGACATTAATGTTAATGGCACCTTATTAACTGGTCAGTTGTAGTTACTGCATCATTCAGTTTAAAATCATGGTCGAAATCTTTCAAGCACCATCAACAAATTATTCTTGCACACTAAATCTTCCTGTAGTCATAAAACAGTACCCACCTTCTCTTAACTACAAGACCCCCAAAACAAAAAGAAAAGCTCAAATGGAAGCTGCAAGTTGATGAACGACTATCCACTGTTTCAGTCCTCATGGTGACTATCAGACTTGTGGCCGCTCAGTGACCTCGACTTAGATCTAGATCTGGACCTTGAATGGCTGCATGACCTTGATTGTGATCGTGTCTTAGAATCCTTTCTAGATGCTGATTTTGATCTTGATACGGATTTTGATCTGGATCTCGAGCGGGATCTAGATCGTGACCTGGATCTTGATCTAGAATAGGAACGATGGCGACGTCTGTGCCTATAAATTGCAAATCCAATTAAGACAAACATGAGATTACATTTAAGGAAGGAAACCAAATCAATTTTCCAGGAAGTAAACTGTCATCTCTTCATTCTGCTTTTGTCCTATCTTTTGTTGGTTTATGTAATACTTCCATCATTCTATTTAGCTCCTTCCCTACAATGAGGAAGAAGTGATTTCATAAATCTTGGAAATCAGAAACCAAACTAAGAAAAATTAAGGAGATGGAGAAAAATGAGAACAGTGGAAAAAGTAAGAGTAAATATAAAACATGCAGGTATAAGAGACAGAAAATACATAACAAATAGCTGAAATGTAAGTAATACACAAACATGAAAACGACAGGGGAAACATGAGTTAGGAACAGGATAAAGCCACTTGGTGCCTCAAGCCTACATCATAACTGATTAAGCTCACGACTGATCGGATTGTAACTGCAACTCCCAACAACTAAGTCAATGTGTCACTTGTTATTAGTTACAATATGTAAAGAGCAGGGAATCAAGAATACTTAAAGTAAACAAAATTAATGATGGCAGAACAGATGGTATGTTCCTGCTGCAGCATGTCAGAGCTGCTGGATACCAAGGTGGTCCGGGAACAATGCATTTGTAGTATGCTTTCACAGTTCAAGAAACTTTTGGAGTTGAGAAGCCAGACTCAAGAGTGGCAGGCTCTTTTGTATTGAGAGCTGCATAATGAAGCAAATTCAATAAATGATCCGAGTGTGAAAGATTACTTTGGGAACAGTAACCATACATGGTGGAATTTAGCAATCAGTTTGAGTGCAAGAAACTTGTGTCGGAAACAACTGTAATAAATGTAAAGGTAGTTACATAAGGATGAGGATGGAGTCAATTGTACAGAACCTGGAAGAGAGTTCAGCAGAAAAAAAGTTGATGAACAATAGTAGACATTTAAGAAAATAGCTCATGGCTCTCAAAAATATATAGAGGAGGGAGGATTCTTGGAAGGGGTTAAACCAACCATGGTTAACAGAGGATATCAAATTGAATGAATAAACACATACAAACTGACAAATATTAGTGGTAACCTAGGGGATGGGAAAGTTATAGAAACTAAAAGATGACTAAAAATGGGGAGAAAATAAACTTTGAGGGTAAGCTAGCAAGTACCATCAAAACAGACAGCAAAGGAACAGCGGGAAGCCAAAGTGAACAAAGGCCTGTTAGAGAATGAAGCTAGAGAAATAATAACAGGCAACCAAGAAATCATGCCTTCACATTACAAGACACTAATAGCATTCCAAAAATACTAAATAAATCAAGGGTAAAAAGGTGTACAGGAAATAAATACAACTATCACTAGAATGCAAGTACTAGGAAAGGTAATGTGGTTAAAGGCAGATAATTCCCATGGACAACAAGGTGCAGGGCTGGATGAACACAGCAGGCCAAGCAGCATC